CCCCCCCCCCCCCCCCCCCCAGCAGATTGGCCGCAGCTGGGCCTCTGTTCACGTCCAGCCCTGCGGGCTGGGGAAGGTGGGTCACATGTGAACAGAGTCCCTTTTATAGCTCCACCACCCAAGCCGGCTCTGTCTTCTGCCACCTGACCTGCCAGCGGCTACCTACACCGGCTGTGCCCGTCCGTCATGGAGAAGGTCCTTGTCCTTCTGCTGGTTGCCCTGGCAGTGGCCTATGCGGCACCTGACCCTCGGGGAATCATTATCCACCTGGTAAGAGGGGCTTTGGGGCAGGAGGTACCCGAGCATCCCGGCAGGGATTTTTTTTTTAATTTTTAAATTTTATTTAAATTCAAGTTAGTTAACATACAGTGTAATAATGGTTTCGGGAGTAGAATTCAGTGAGTCATCAGTTAGAACACCCAGTGCTCATCCCATCAAGTGCCCCCCTTAATGCCCATCACCCATTTAGCTCATCCCCCACCAACACCCCTCCAGCCACCCTCAGTTTCTTCTCTGTATTTAAGAGTCTCTTATGGCTTGCCTCCCTCTTTTTTTTTTTATCTTATTTTTCCTTCCCTTCCTCTACGTTCATCTGTTTTGTTTCATAAACTCCACATATAAATGAAATTGTGTATTTGTCTTTTCCTAACTTATTTTACCTGGCATGATACACCCTAGTTCCATCCGCATTTTTGCAAATGGCAAGGTTTTATTATTTTTGATTGCCAAGAATTTTTCCATCATATATATATATACACACCACATCTTCTTTACCCATCTGTCAGTCATCGGACATTTGGGCGCTCTCCATAATTTGGCTATTGTTGACAGTGCGGCTGTACACACGGTGGGGCGTGTGCATGTGCCCAGGTGAGATAGGTACTATTAGGGTCAACTCCGTTTTCAGATGGAAGGCAGTTGTAGAAAAAGTTAAGTCACCTGCCTGAGGTCACACAGCTGGAAAACAGTGAGCAGGGATTGGAGCCCAGGCTCCCGGCTCCAGAACAACCCCCTCACACTGCCCCATGCTGCCTCTCTACCCAAAGGATCTTAACTCGGAGCCTTGCATGGCTCAGAGGGTCCAGGGTCTCCCTCAGGTTCTATGTAAAAGTCAGGGGAGGGAGGAATTTTCCAGGGTGAAGGTCCTCAACCTTCACAGGCTCCTCAATGGAGCAATGGAGCCAGAGAAGTTTGGGGACCTTGTTTTGGGAACGCTGAGGCATAGGGCGGGGCAGTGAATTGCCCAGCATCACCCAGGGAGTCGGTAGTGCAGCGGGGACTAGAACCCGGGTGTCTGGAGCCGCAGCCACTACCCTGCCCGCTTCTCACGCAGAGGGGCTGGGGATGGGCGGATTGGCCGCCAGACCCAGGAGCTGGGTTCCTCTACACACTCCCCCACCAGGGGAGCACTGTCAGCGGCAGTGGGGGGAGGGGCGGGGGACGTAGAGAAGGGACCAAGGGGGTCCGGGACTGACCGGCTGCCCCCGCAGGAGGAAGGCGAGCTCTGCCTGAACAGCCTTCAGTGCAAGAGCAAGTGCTGCCACCGTCAAACCGGGCTGAGCCTGGCCCGCTGCGCACCCAAGGCCAGCGAGAACAGCGAGTGCTCCGCCAAGGTGGGTGCTCACAGAGTGGGGGTGGGGGTGGTGGGAAGAGGGACCGCTCGGAGGAGGAGGGCCTTCACGCTCGGGGATAGGAGCACGGAGGAGCATCGGCCTGGGTCCTGAACGCTGAGATTAAGAGAGGGAAGCCAACAGGCTTCAAAGCACTTTCCCATCCCATCATCGCTTTTGACCCTCACGAGTGACCAGAGATAAAGGTTTGTTATCCCCATTTCACAGATGGGTAAACAGAGGCCTCCCCAGAGAGATCTAGTTAGTAAGCAGAAATGAGACACAGAGTGAACCAGACTCCGGGCCCACAGTGGCCTCTAGGGTGGCATTAAGGAGAAGACAGACTGAAAAGAGACTGGCCAGGGGTTCTTGGGGTCAGGCCAGGGGCAAGTGATGCCCAAAGTAGCCCCCCCCCCCAACACTCAGCCCGTGAATCCACTGGCCCTGTGTCTTTGCAGACACTCTATGGGGTTTACTACAAGTGTCCCTGTGAGCGGGGCCTGACCTGTGAGGTTGACAAGACCATCGTGGGCTCCATCACCAATACCAACTTTGGCTTCTGCCATGATGCTGGACGCTCCAGGAAGTAAAACCACCGAAGGCGGCTCCTCTCCCACCACCCCTCCCTGGCTGGCCACCCCCTTGGCCAGCACCCCCCTTTTCTGATTGGATTCTCAGCAATTAAAGCTCTTCCTGCAACCTTCCCCGGGCTCCTGAGTGTTCTTGTTAGGTCAGCGTCTTCCTTGATGTTACCTTAAGCCTTTGCCTCCTCAAGATCAGAGGAAGTCAGTAGGCCAGAGGAAGGAGGCCAGGCAGGATGACAAGGCTGTGAAGCATCCATGCTGAGAACCTCTCCGTTTGGGGACCATCACACCTCCCTGGGATGCCCTTCTGGCCCCTCAAGTTCTCAGACAGGTGTGTCACACACACATGTACACACTTCTGGTGGGGACTCCTAATGGCCCATGTTCTCTGCCCTGAGTCAAAACTTACCAGTCCCTGTCCTGGGGTCATACCTTCTTTTTGGACCCAACTCTCAGATATGCCAGATAGCTAGCACAACCCAGGTGTTAGGAGGCCATGTGGGGAATCAGCCTAGGAATTCCCTGAGCCTGCACAGATGGGTTAACAAGGCATAAAGGAATAGAAAGCCACAGGATGAACACACCGAAGGTTGGGTAAACAAGATCAGGTAAATGAGATTAGGTAAATGGAGCAAAGGCCCCCAGTATAGAACAAAGACATAGGAATACAAAAGTCTCAGGATGAAAGCATCCAAAATGAGGTAAGCAAGATTAGGTGTTCGGGGCTGAAACACCCCCCAACTTACAACAATAGCAGAAAGCTGCTTTCGCAGGAAGGAAGGACAGAAAATAGGTAAAGAGGTAAATAGGACTTTAGGCTGCAGCAGGGCTAAGTTGCCCAGAGTGGAGCTAATTAGCAAAAGAAAGGTGCCTTGTTGACCCTGAGGTAGCATGCTCCCTTGGTCTTGTCCCCAAGGCCAGTTTAGATGAACGAGGTGGTGCCTCAGGTCTGCTGTAAACAACCTTCCTCCTAGCGCCCAGCCACCTGCCAAGCCACCGCATACCTTCAAAACCCCTTTTCCCCCACGCCCATGAGTTAATGTTCATGGTTTCATTGTGTGTGCATGTCCATCGCGATTGTAAACCTTCTGATTCTAATAAAAACGGAGCAAGGACCCTTCCTCAGGGCTCTTGTCTCCTGGACATTAGCCTCTCTCAAATCGTAATCCTGCGTCCTACTCTCTTGCTGCAAAAGAGAGATCTCCAGACCCAGAGTTTACGACAGGGTCAGTCTACTAACAATCGCAGCGGGCTTACACTGTGCTAGCAAATCCCCACATTGATCCAGGAGGGAGAATTTATTGTCTCTATAGATAAACACAAACAGAAAACCCAAAAAAACCCCCTAATGTTCAGAGTGGTTAAGTAACTTGCTCAATGTCACATAATTAGAAAAAGTTAGGGGTTGCTTGAGTGGCTCAGTTGGTTAGGTGTCTGACTCTTGATTTTGGCTCAGGTTGTGATCTCATGGTTCATGGGATCGAGCCCTGTGCGGGGCTGTGTGCCAACAAGGCAGAGCCTGCTTGTGATTCTCTGTCTCCCTTTTTCTCTCTACCCCTGTCCCAATTGTACTCTCTCTCTCTCAAAATAAAGAAAAATAAAGAAAAAAATGCTTGCTAATTAAAAAAAGAAGAAAAAGTTGGCACCGCACCCAACGAACTCCACCCCCCACCCATTCTACAATTCCCTGTTCTTTCCCAATTATTCATAACTAAGACAAATGGGCGGGACTGTAGGGACTTTGGTTTTGGTTTAATATAAAAATTTTATGCCCTTGGAGCCGTCAAACCCAGGTTGCCGTAGGCAGTACTGAGGTCCCCGTCACTGAGATGTGCAGGTGGAGTTTGACTGACCCCCAGTAGGGATGCAGGAGAGGAGGTTCATGCAAAGAAGGAAGAGCGTGAACTAATTAAAACTGAGATGCTGTCCCAGCCCCAGGATTTTGTAGTTTGTGATCAAGGAATTCCTAGAGTAACCATTAGGTTTCTGAGTTAAGACGGGATCTACCTGAAAAGTAACAAAAAACCCAAGGAATATAGCTGAAACAAATAGGAACACGTTTCTCATGAATTAAAAAGTCCAGAGGGGGCGTGGGGGCAGGGGGCTCAGTTGGTTGAGAGTCTGACTCTTGATTTGGTCTCAGGTCATGATCCCATGGTTCGTGAGATCGAGCCTCCCGTCAGGCTCTGTGCTGACAGTGCAGAGGCTGCTTGGGATTCTCTCTCTCTCTCTCTCTCTCTTCCTTGCCCTCTGCTCCTCCCCCACTCGTTCTCTAATAAATAAATAAGCAAACAAATATTAAAAAGAAGGCTGGAGGTAGGAAGTGCTGGCAGACCTGTACTTCTCTTACCTCCTCTCAACTGGCAGATGCTTCAAGGCAGCTCCTAATGTCACATTCTCTTACCACATTCAAGTTAGGAAGCATGGAGTAGAGAGTGGCTGCATAGGGGGTGAGGGCAGAGTGCCTCCCCCGGCATACTTTCTAATCTTACCAAAAGCCTCCAGGGTGACTTCTCCATAGCTCAGTAGCTCCAACTGGGTCACAGGACCACCTCTGGCAGCAAGGGAGGCTGGGAAAGCAAGTATTGGGCCGAGGAAATAGGACCACCATGATTGGCTTGGACTAATTATGATCCCTCTCCCAGGGCTGGGCCCAATATGCCCAAACAATATGGGGGTTCAGTTAGCAAGGAAGCTGAGGAGTCAGGTAAGTGCCTGCTGTACCTAAGTGAGCTCTCAACCGGAGGGTTTTCAATATCTTCACCCGGTAGGGGGTTCACATCCTGAGGCAGGGTTGGGTCATACTCTGAGGTGCCCAGATCCAAACCTGGGTGGGGATCTGCATTGAATGGATGCATTGAATGGTTGAATGACCACAGTGCCCAGCACTATAAAGGACGTGAGGGAAATGTCCCTAGTTTCCGGGGTGAGTGGGAAGTTGGGCTCTGGGGAAGCAAGTGGCAATACTGTTCCCTGCATTGTATCCTTTCTACTTGAGCATCTGTTTTTGGCACTGAGACTGAGTAATACAAGGCGGCTGGAAGAAGGGGGGGGGGGCATTTGTTGTTGTGTTGCTGTTGTTCAAAAGCCCCTTCTTCTTCTCTCCCAGCCTGGAGCCCAGAGGAGTCCCCATTTTCTTTTTTCTTTTTTTAACTTATTTTTTTTAATGTTTATTTATTTTGAGAGAGAGAGAGAAGGCATGAATGGGGTGGGGCAGAGAGAGGGAAACACAGAATGTGAAGCAGGCTCCAGGACTCAAGATGTCAGCACAGAGCCCTACATGGGGCTCGAACCCACAAGCCAGGAGATCGTGGCCTGAGCCAAAATCGGATGCTTAACTGACTAAGCGACCCAGGCACCCCACCACCTTAATATCCTAACCCCAGGAACTCCCCATCTTGCTATAACTTTTTTCTAGGTATGCTAGAAATTCAGCTACAGAAGCAGCAGTATTTGCAGCCTTGAATCCATAAGAAAATGCCAGATGCTGGTCCCTGTAGACATATGCTGTCTAATATGGTACCGATTAGCCACGTGTTGAACACTTGAATTGGGATACGTGTAAAATACAAATTGGATTCAGAAGACCTGTTACCAAAAAAGAATATGAAAGATCTCAATTTTTACATGTTGAAATAACATTTTTGATTGGGCTATAAATAGAGTATAGTGTCAACATTAGCTCTGCCTGTTTCTCCTTACTTTTTAAGTATGGCCATTCGAAAGTTTAAAATCACATTTCACTTCCCTGGACAGTACTGCTCTTTTAAGGTGAAGGATTTTGAGAAGAGGCATTTTTCTGAACTCCCTCCTCTACCTAAAAGCAGAGCCTCCCCAAAGAACTCAGCTATCATACATTCCCTCCTGGAGAAGTTTCTTACAACCAAGAAAGATTGACTCTTTGTACTGAAATCTTATCACTGCAGAAGTTAGAACCACACCTAAATGGACATTGTCACAAAACTATCAGATCTGCTCTACTCTCTGAAGGGCCGATTTATCTTTCTTAAAAGTAATTTGTTTTCCCCAAGTGCCTTTTCTTCCCTTATTAAGTCGCCATTTTCCAGAGTGTCCTTCTCCCATTCCTCCTCCCCAATTAGGATGATATATATGCCCCAAATTCTAACTGCCTCATTGAGTCACCTTTTTCTGTGAATTCCCCTGTGTACGTATGTAAATAAAAATCTCATTTCTCTTGCCAATCTGTCTTTTGTCAGTTTAATTTGCAGACCCCAAAAACTGAACCTAAGAGGGTAGAGGAAAAGTTTCTCCTCCCCATTGTATGAAACAGGTGTAATCACACCAGCAACACATTTTCCCCTCCCCGTCTAAAGGTGAAGACATTAGGTATTCTTGGAGGCTGGGTTTCCAGCCTGCAATCAATCTCTCCTTCCAAGGGCATTTCGCAGATTTTCTCCAAATAAGGGGAGCTCATGTACCACTATGGACTGTAATCCTGTGTCTTTCTGATGTACCTGTGACACTGCGTATCTGTCTGACACATTTAGTACAGGAGCAATATCCCCCAAGATAAGGGTGAGAGTGTTGCCAGCCTTACAGGGGTGCTTTTTTTCAATTTAATTTTTTAATGTTTTATTTATTTCTTTTTTTTGTTAGTATTCTTCTGTATTTTATTTTATTTTTGTTTTTTTGTTTTGTTTTGTTTTCCTTAAATAGTTTATTGTCAAGTTGGTTTCCATATAACACTCAGTGCTCATCCCCACACATGCCCTCCTCCATGCCCATCTCCCACCTTCTCCTCTCCCCCACACCCATCAGCCCTTGGTTTGTTCTCAGCATTCAAGAGTCTCTCATGGTTTGCTTCCCTACCTCTCCCCAACTATTTTTCCCCTTCTTCTCCTGCATCATCTTCCATTAACTTCCTCCTAATCCTCCTATACATGCAAACATATGGTATTTGTCCTTCTCTGCCTGACTTATTTCGCTCAGCATAACACCCTCAAGGTCCATCCATGTTGCTACACATGGCCAGATTTCATTCTTTC